TCTGGTATCATGTGAAGCAACTATATCAGACGACGGAGGCAGTATCACTGGGATCACCAATATCTCCAATCGCAGAAGACATAGTTATGGATAGTTGGGAAGACATGGCGTTACGAAGGTTTGACCCTGTACTCAAGATATGGTGGTGATATATGGATGATACATTCACTACCCTGTTGAAATCTGAACATATCGACAATTTCCTCACATATAACGTCAACTCAATAGTAGGCGAAATCCAATTCCTCTTTACGAGAAAGTAGAAAATGAACCGAAGATAATTACTGTTGTTGCATTGAAGAATAAAACGAAAGATAGGCGTTGGCGGTTTGGATACTAACGTCGACAGGAAACCAACCCATTCTCACAGGTAAGTTGGTATCTAGACCTCAAGTCATCTCATCCAATGTCAGTCAGTGGAAGCCAGGTTCAGTCAAACGAAATGATAACAGTAACACCAGTAGGAAAGAGTTTGCAGCGTCACACACTTCCCCAAAATCAATAACCCAGGGTTTGACGACTTTCGACACTGATGCTGACCTTGATAGTTTAACTGAACTCACTGAGCTGAAGGCACCCGGTCAAGCATCCTCGCCGTTTGGCACACTGTCGTGTTACGTTGCACTGCTCGTAATCGACTCCCTAGCCAGTCGGTTGGAACGCATCGGTATTTTGGCACAACCATCCAAATATACTATTCCACTGGACTACGCTACTGTGTTCTTCCTTGGTCTCGTATTCGTGGGTGTATAACAAGTCCGAATAATTAGTGATTGGTCTTTGCGTCTGTCAAGCTCAAGGTCTTCCTTTTGACGCCGAGCTAGTTCAACGAGATCAACACCCTCGATATGACTTACCGAAGCTATTCGTGATAGTGCGTCGGCTACGGAGTTATTTGCTCTAGAAATGTGGCGGATGTCTGACGTGAACTGGGAAATGTAGTCAAGCTGTCGCGACTCACGAGGGGAGTATTTGTCAGACGCCGAGCTGAGGGAAAACGTTAACGGTTTGTGGTCTGTGAAAATAATGAAATCACGACCTTCCACAGAATGTCGAAAGTGGCGTACAGAACAGTACATAGCTAGGAGTTCCCTACCAAACGTACTGCGTCTTGTCTCCGCGTCTTGCAGCCGCCTCGAGAAAAAGGCTAACGGTTGCCACTGGTTGTCAGTCAATTGTTGCATAACTGCTCCAATTGCTGAGTCAGATGCATCAACAGCAATACTCAAAGGAGCATTGGGGTCATGATGCATAAGCATGGTTGCGTTCGAAATGGCTTCCTTGACTTTAGAAAAGCAAGTCTAGCCGCGTTGTCCAGAGACACGAACTTCGCAGTTCCTCGAAGTAGATCTGTTAGTGGTCTCATGACAGAGGCACAGTTGGGGATAAACCTTCGGTAATAACTTACCAGGCCATTGAAAGTGCGGAGATGTTTCACAGTGGTCGGCTCTGGATAGTTTATGATAGCCGCCACTTTATCTCTCAATGGGCGTATACCTTTGTTGTCAATGGTATGCCCAAGGAAGCTGAGTGATTCAACTCCTATTTCACACTTCTGTAAGTTGACTGTGATGCCATGTTTTTTAAGTCTTTCGAAAACGAGGTCCAAATGTTTAAGGTGTGTTTCCTTATCTGGACTCGCAATTAGACAGTCATCGATGTAGACATGAACAAAATTCAAACCACGGAAGACATCATCCATAAAGCGTTGGAATGTTTGTGCTGCATTCCGAAGACCAAATGGCATGCGCAGGAATTCAAACAGGCCAAAAGGAGTAATAATGGCTGTTTTCGCGATATCTTCTGCTGCCATAGGTATCTGGTTGTACGCTTTGACCAAGTCGATTTTAGAGAAAATGTTCATTCCGCATAAGGTTGCAGTCAAATCGTAAACGTGAGGTATCGGGTAGCAGTCTGGTGTTGTTTTGGCGTTAAGCCTTCGGTAATCACCGGTTGGACGCCAGTCGTTGCTATCCTTTTTGGGAACCATGTGCAATGGTGATGCCCAAGGGCTGTTTGACGGTTTGATAATGCCCAGTTCGAGCATGTGGTCGAATTCGCTTTTCGCCGCTTTGAGCTTATCGGGGGCTAGACGGCGCGCTTTGGATGCCACAGGTGGACCTGTGGTTGTGACGTGATGCATAACATTGCTGGTTATGCACGGAAGAGTGTGCTTCGGCTGTTGCAACTCTGGATATTTCTCCAAACTGCTTGGTAGGACGCGTCGCCTGATTGTTTGGTTCTAACGATGGCTAAACTCGGACCTACATAGGTGGTGCCGCCAATAGATAACTTTGTGTTGTTATCTATCAGTCGTCGACGGCGAGCATCTACGAGTAGATCGTAATGGTTTAGCAAATCTATGCCAATGATGGGCATAGAAACGTCAGCAAGGAGGAAAATCCAGTGGATAGGTTTACGTAAACCTAAGTTGAGGTAGGCATACTGTCTCTCGAATGTCGCGATTGCCTTGCCGTTGGCTGCTTGAAGATTGAAGGATGGGTCATGATGACGCTCCTTTGTCGGTGCGGGAAGAACGCTAACTTCTGCGCCGGTGTCGACGAGGTAGCGAACTTTCGTTTTTATATCCGTGACGTAGAGCAAACGGCTGTTTCCGCCGGCTACGGTTGCCGTGAACACGTGCCGGCGTGACAGTCTCCCGAGTCTGTGTCCTTGTTAAAACTGCATGGTTTCCGACATTTTCCGGCTTCGTCTCCGTAAGTACTATGAAACCAGCACCATTCAGGGTTTTCCACCCTGTTAGGTTTAGTTTTGGGGCTACCACGCGATTTGCTGCGATGCACTAAGACGCATTTCTGTGGAGTTCTACGTGAACTAGTACTTCGAGATCGTAGCAACTGTTTAACGGAGTTGCACAACTTGGTCACCTCTGAATCCTGGCGCTCTGGTTTGTCGCAGATAGAATATACGTTGGAGACGGGTCTGCTGGATATCTCCAGTATTTTATCTGCTGAGGCTGCCAGGTCATCGAGTGGGACTGACTGCAGTGCCACCAACACGGTTTGCACCGGTTGTGGTAGTTTCGAAAGAAATAGTTCTCGGAAAAGGCCATCGTCGAATGTTCGTGCACCCATAACTTCTCGCATGCGTGCGAGGACTTCAGTAGCTGAGTGGCTGCCTAGCTCGATGTTACGAAGTAATTCGTCTAGGCGCTGGCGATCTGTCAGATCGCTTTTCTTCAAGAGTGCGGCCTTAAGAAGTGCATAAGGATCACTTACTTCAGGATTAAACATGTGTGCCGTAACATACCTGTTTAATTCTCGCGGTAGTGACTGTATGACAGCAAGAAATCGAGAATGAGGATCTGAGACGCCCTGTTCTCGAAAATCGGCCTCGGCATACAGAAACCATGTTTCCACATTGTCTGGCCAATATGGCACGAGTTGGATCGTGTTCGTAGTCGGCTTAATACGAATAAGCTTGGGAGTGTGGTCGGACATGAGAAAGTGTAGTAAATGGATATATAAATGTTATCGAAATGAAAACAATATAGAAATATAAAATGGAACAGGCTCACCAATTCAATATTTGTTATTGGTCGGGATATGTAATCACGTCGGGCTCACCAATTTAGGATTTGTCCTAGTGCGAACTTGACAGACGCAAAGACCAATCACTAATTATTCGGACTTGTTATACACCCACGAATACGAGACCAAGGAAGAACACAGTAGCGTAGTCGGATGGAATAGTATATTTGGATGGTTGTGCCAAAATACCGATGCGTTCCAACCGACTGGCTAGAGAGTCGATTACGAGCAGTGCAACGTAACACGACAGCGTGCCAAATGGCGAGGATGCTTGACCGGGTGCCTTCAGCTCAGTGAGTTCAGTTAAACTATCAAGGTCAGCATCAGTGTCGAAAGTCGTCAAACCCTGGGTTATTGATTTTGGGGAAGTGTGTGACGCTACAAGTTCGGTCTCCATTGTGTTACTCTTTCGAGGAAGGTACATCAGAATCTCTATATAAGATTCTCAATAACGTTGAGATTAGTTGGAGTGGTATTTAAACCCACAAACTCACTCCAAGTTAAGCTTTTTCAGTTAGCTCATGTATCCATTCAATCCAATTTCGGGAAATAATCTTATCTATCAAATTCTATGTAATGACTATGAGATCACGTACATAGGTCGAACTAGCCGACTGAGATTAGTTAGATTACCGTAGCATAGGAATTTTGTCCAAATACAAAGTAAGAGACTGAAACAACATCAATACCCAAACAATAGGGTAGCAACAGAGAGAGAGAGATTGAGTACCGAAGCTTTGTTCATTTAACCTACACCCAGAACATATATGATAGTGAAGAGACATAAGACAAACACGACGGAACGGTACTCCCTACATGTGATACATGTTGCACTAAACTCGTCATTTGCAAAATGTGCTTCATTTCCTGTCCTATTACTCTCTCGACTTGCTCTTCATATATTCTTATCGGCAGCATCCACTGTGATACGTCTGAGTTATCCCTTGAGTTGCTCTTGGCAGAATCCTAACCCATTGCTGGTAATTCTGTATGATTCCTGCCACTCTCTCAACATATACTATCCATTGTTATTAGCAATGCCCACTACAATAGGAATGATGAAGTAGGTATACGAGAGATAAGGAAAATTCTGATCCCTATGAAACTGGAGAATATGAGGTGATAGAATTATGAAAGCCAAATGTCCAGCGTAATGTGACTACATTGAGATATGATTGTTCTCAGGTAAACTTTCCACATGAAAGTATTCAGTTGTTTTTGTTGACTATTGAACCAACCAATAAGATTTCTCAATTTTGGCGGAAAATACAAACGTTTGTAAAACAAGTTTTGATGGCTAGTATGACTGACCTTCAAGCAGGTGGAGAAAAAACCTGGCGCGCTGGATCCAAATAATTTTTTTAACAAGAAGTCTATGAAACCGGCAATAACATGAATTTTGACAAAAAACAGAAAAATATTGACGAATACGAAAACAAAAGGAAGAGATTAGGTTACATATTGATAAGGTTGTTGATGATGTTGGTGTTTGAAGAGAAGACGTAACTCTTTGATAAGTGAAATGCATTCAGCTTTTTCTTCTTTAATACGTTTTCGTAAGGATATAACCTAGATTTCATTGAAATTATTAGCATATGTATAAAGATATATAAATATTGTTTCTACTACTCACCTTCTCATCATTATTGTTTACTTCATTCCTATGTCTATCCTCTAAATGAAACCGTTTCCTCATTATTCTGTGTGTTATTATGCAATTGAAATGTGGTGGATCACTTACGTATACATTGATTTCATCATTTTATAGTTGTAAATTTTCTCTTCAAGTGAATTTATATATAAGTTGATATCTTGAACTCTCAATCTACTCAAACCTATAAGGATTGAACAGGAAACCGAGAGAGAGAGAGAGAGAGAGAGAGAAAGCGATAAGGTGAATGAAATGAAACAGATCTGAGATATCTCCAACAATAATCATTACGATACTTTGAGATGATTAGAAATTCTTGTTAGTAAGAGTATGTCATTCCAAGAAACGAAGAGATAGACATTACACAGTTACATGACAGTCGAGAAGAATCTTTCTGGAGATAATAGTTGAGATTTGTCATGGGTACGAAGCAGTTACCATAGAATAGTATTGCTTGGGTTCGGTGGAATCATTGTGTGAATAACTTCGTGGATGGAAGAAGGGTAAATCGATTGACAAAGGTGTGAATCTTCTTCATTTGATGCGGTTTTGACATATGTTGCGATTATCGAACCGAACGAACAGGGTTCACAATGACTAAATCAGTAAGTGGTACCAGTCGATGAAATCTTTGATGATTAGTCTAAGCCATTTACAAAGATGTAGATTATCCGACTTAGATAGAAAAACTGGTCAAAACTAGTAAGAGGGAGAGAGAGAGAGGAAAAAAGTGTATACATACCTGCGCGACTGACATCGGTTCTGATCCATATCACCTGGAGTCTCTAACCACTGGTAGATTCTCGTGGACCCTAAACAACTAGTGTACATCGTTTTGCACGGCTCAAACCGGCAGTCAACAACATTATGCACTAATTCCACGTTTTAGTCAGGCCACCCTGAACCCTTTTTCAGATTAAGAGGGTGACTAGGTATGCGTAACAAGTGTCCCAAGCATGTCAGTCGATGAGAGTTTATAATCGCGTCAGGTGACTTTCTTCTCTTACCAAAAGCTTAGATGGTGAAACCACGACACATGGCTTATGCTAAGAAGGCAGCGGTGGTCAAACACTTCAAGCCTTCTCATATCTTTTACCTTTAATGGCGATGTTTCATGACCATAGAGTAGAACAGAGTGAACTGCAGCATAGCATATTGCGGCAGAGCCACAGCTGATCTTGTAGCATTTTATTTCACTGTATTGTGTTGATGTATGTAACAACTCATTGAACATTTTTTGTTTAGTTGTACTGAAAAAGACTTTTTGCTCGCTCGTTGACTAATACAACATCCTGATATATACTTCGCGTTAACTCCTGATATTTACGCTGTCTGACGCAGGTGGATCAGCAGTGTCGGGAATTATAAATAGGCGATAGTGTATCTGGACACGTATATAAAATTTGGAGTCAGATTTCAGAGCTCGACAAACTGGTGAGCCCGACGTGATTAAACTCTCGCAATTGAATACTGCAACCGGCCATTAATGACTGTATACAATACGGATATACATATATACTGAGAATTTCTTTGGCTGCTTTGTGGTAGGCATTGACATACTTGTTTATTGTATTTTTCCTGCTCTTGTTCTTAAATATTTTTTTTGCTGTACCAGTACTGATGTCCTTAAACTCTCATAATCAAGACTTTTCGAATTTAGGGTCCGTGGGTGCCATTAATCTTCCTATGCCTTGTTTTAAGTTTAATGACCCGCAATTGTGGTTTGTCCGTCTAGAACATTTCTTCATGGCCAATCATATAACTTCACAAAACACAAAGTTCGGATACACAAGCTCTGTTTTGCCGGAAGAAGTGGCTGAACAAGTAAGGGAGACACTACTAAAGCCCCACCCAGACACACCTTATGATGTTTTGAAGCAGGAGGTGCTGAAAGCTACTTCGTTATCTGACCAGAAGGCTGTCGATCAACTACTAAGTAGCATATGCCTCGGTGACAGAACACCTTCACAACTTAAGCGACATATGCAAAGTCTGCTGAAAGATAGGAAAGTAGACAACCGTTTATTCTACCAGCTCTGGCTGCGGAGACTTCCTTCATGCATTCAGCAGATATTAGCTGTCGGAGATGCGGACATTGACATTGACAGGTTGGCTGACATCGCTGACCGTATGTACGAAAGGATGCCTAAACCGGTTGAAAGTATTGCTGAGCCAACGCAAAACGACCGAGTGGCCGCTTTAGAGAGGAAGATAGACATACTTACAGGACAACTGACGGCTTTGCAGTTAAACCGACGGTCACCGAAGTTCTGTAGAAGCAGATCCCGTAGTCGTGATAGGACCACGAGTAGAATTGCGTCTAAAAGTAGAACGTGCTGGTATCACAAGAAGTTTGGCAGTAAAGCACGTCGTTGTTTGTTACCATGCGACTTTAAAACCTTTTCATCGGGAAACGGAAAGGCCGGCGATCAGTGACGACTGCTGTCGCCGGCGTACAACAACACAGTCGTTTGTTTCGAGTGACGGATAGGAAGACTGGAGCTCAGTTTCTGGTTGACACTGGAGCGGAAGTGAGCGTGATCCCACCCACACCTTCCGAAAAACGCCATCCCAACCCAACTTTGGTACTACAAGCGGCAAATAGATCTGCTATTACTACATATGGGACCAGAATTTTGATCCTAGACATTGGCTTTCATACACCATTCCAGTGGGAATTCGTCATAGCTGACATATCGTCGCCTATCATTGGCATGGATTTCCTTCAACACTACGAACTATTGGTCGACTCTAGTCGCCATAGACTAGTCAGCCGTAATGGTGAATTTTCTATCACCGGTATCGCTACGGAGACAAAAACAATAAACTTAGTCGTAGCTCCAATAAACAACACTTCCGAGTACGATATCCTTCTGCGAGAATTTCCCGAGCTCACTCAAACGGATTACACGAAGTCCTCTCCAAAACATACGGTGACGCACCATATTCTTACAAAAGGTCCTCCAGTCTCATCAAAACCTCGACGCTTAGACCCTAAAAAGCTGCAGATAGCAAAACAGGAATTTGATAAACTTCTAAAGTTGGGAGTTATACGCCCTTCCAAAGCCCATGGTCATCACCCCTGCATATGGTACCTAAAAAAGCATCAGGGGAAATACGGCCTTGCGGTGATTATCGAGCGTTGAATAAGCGTACGGTCCCTGATAAGTATCCAATTCCTCACATACATGATTTTATGAACTCTATGACAAAAGTAAATATTTTTTCCAAGATTGACCTCGTGCGAGCTTACTATCACATTCCTGTGGAACCCAATGATGTTCCTAAGACGGCCATCACTACCCCTTCGGACTATTCGAATTTATTCGTATGCCGTTTGGTTTGACAAATGCTGCTCAAACATTCCAAAGATTTATAGATCAGGTACTCCATGGCTTACCTTTCGTCAGTGCATACATAGATGACTTAATAGTAGCTAGCGCATCTGAAACAGAGCACCTGCAACATCTGAGGACGCTTTTCGAACGACTGCGTGAATATGGCATTACAATCAATCCGCAGAAATGCGAATTTGGCAAGGAATCCCTACAGTTTTTGGGTCACATTGTTAATGCCAACGGTGTTAAACCGGTTCCGCAAGAAGTAGATGCAATTCGAGAATATCCTGTTCCAGACTCGTTTCGAAAGCTGCGAAGATTTCTGGGGTTAATAAACTTCTATCGACGTTTCATACCTAAATGTGCTGAAGTAGCCCAACCGCTGACAGATTTATTGCAAGGACGAGCCAAAGTGTTTCACATGACCCAAGCGGCCCATGATGCTTTTGACAAACTGAAGCTGGCTCTAAGTTCTGAAACTCTTCTCTCTCGTCGTGATTCAGAAGCACCACTAGCCATCATGACAGACGCTTCAAATGTTGCGGTAGGCGCAGTACTACAACAGTTTGTTCACGGTCAGTGGGAACCATTATCTTTCTTCTCGAAACGACTTAATGCTTCTCAATCGCGATACAGTACATTCGGCAGAGAGCTACTGGCGATTTACTTGGCTATCAAGCACTTCAGATATATGCTCGAAGGGTACTCATTTATAGTATTCACCGACCATAAGCCACTCACAAAAGCAATTGATGCAAAGCATGACAACTACTCGCCCCGAGAAATTCGACATTTAGAATTTATTTCACAATTCACTTCAGATATAAGGTATATCAAAGGCAGCAAAAATGAGGCAGCTGATGCTTTGTCTCGTATGTACGTAAACGTCTTAGAACGTGACCGTATTGACCTAGCAGAAATGGCAAAGTTGCAGGCCACGGATGAGGACTTGAAACATTTGAAAAACAATGTGAACACCTCATTACGTCTTGAAGAAGTAACACTTGATGACTCTGTATCCATCACCTGTGATTTATCCAAGGGTAAACCGCGCCCGTTTGTGCCGTTATCAATGAGACGATTAGTCTTCTCTAAGATGCATGGCATTTCACATCCTGGTATTCGAGCTACGGTGAAGTTAATTACTGACCGATACGTCTGGCCAAAGATGAATCGAGATCTTCGACAGTGGTCCAGAGCTTGTTTAGCGTGCCAGCGATCGAAAGTGCAAAGACATATTCTTTCACCTACGGGAAGATTTTCCCACCGGATGGCAGATTTGACCATATACACGTTGACATCGTTGGACCACTACCTCCGTCAAATGGTTTTAGCTACATTTTAACATGTGTAGACCGATTCACGAGATGGCCAGTGGCAATACCTCTGCAGGATATATCTGCCGAAACAGTAGCGAGAAATATCATCCAACACTGGATTTCTAACTTTGGTGTCCCAAGTGTCATCACCACAGATAGAGGTGCGCAGTTCGAGAGTAGTCTATTTCAACAGTTAACTGAACTTCTCGGGATCAAGCGCATAAGAACCACTGCGTACCATCCTGCATCCAATGGTATTGTCGAAAGGTTCCATCGACAACTAAAAGCAGCACTGATGGCAGTAAAGACTGATGACAAGTGGAGTGACAAATTACCACTAGTACTCCTTGGTATACGTTCGAGTGTCAAGCAGGACATTGGCTGCTGTACTGCTGAGTTAGTTTATGGAACTACTTTAAGATTGCCAGGAGAGTATTTTAACCCGGCAACAGACGTTCCACCGGACTTGACTAACTATGTACAACAACTACGGCGACACATGAGCACACTTCGACCTCAGTCCCCACGATACCGAGACAACCAAGTTTACGTACCTCAGTGCATCTCAAACTGCACTCACGTTTTCGTCCGACACGACGGCGTACGAAAACCCTTACAGCCCCCGTATGAAGGACCTTTCAAGGTAATTAGTAAATCAGACAAAGTTGTCACGGTCGAACGCTCGGGTAGACGAGAAACGGTCAGCATTGATAGAGTCAAACCAGCGTTTATGGAACCAGATGTCACGGATACCAAGTCTGAACCCGCAGTGAAGCAACCGGAAACACCGAAAACCACCGTCAAAACAGAAACAACGGCATCGGAATCACCCAATAGTAGCGACGGTAGCAGAACCACGAGATCCGGAAGAAGAGTCCGTTGGCCACGACGTTACTTTCAGACAATTTACATTTCATAAAACCAATTCCCTAGTAACATTATTATCGGTTTTGCGCATTACCTAAAAAAAAACATGACCACACGATTTTGTCAGACTTTTCCGCATACACAAAACAAAATTTTTTTCCGGGCACCACGGACTTCCGAATCTCTTATTTCTTAACAATGTTCCAGGTAATACGATTTTGGTTGTTAATTTTTTTATCTCCGGATATATTATTACTTTGGTAAAGTTATTTTAGTGTTTCGAATGTCATACACTTCATTTTTATGTAAACACTCTTCCAATCAGTTTTCATCCTGATAATAGATATCCTTAACATTCCTCTTATGTTTTTAATATCTTCAAAATGAATTTACCTTTCTCATAATATTTTATATCGAACACAGATATTCCCTCTTATATCTGTATTCTGGGGAGGGACTTATGTAGCATTTTATTTCACTGTATTGTGTTGATGTATGTAACAACTCATTGAACATTTTTTGTTTAGTTGTACTGAAAAAGACTTTTTGCTCGCTCGTTGACTAATACAACATCCTGATATATACTTCGCGTTAACTCCTGATATTTACGCTGTCTGACGCAGGTGGATCAGCAGTGTCGGGAATTATAAATAGGCGATAGTGTATCTGGACACGTATATAAAATTTGGAGTCAGATTTCAGAGCTCGACAATCTAACTCCCCATATAAGTAAAGCCTTCGACCCACCCAACCATTTTACGTAGTTCTGTTAATTAGGCCATTGCTAAAGACTAGCCCTGGAGCGATAACTTACACTCGAGAAAAGCATCCCAAACACTCTGACATTACTATTTAAGGTGTCCAGAAGATTCTGCATCTTGTCAGCGTTTTCGCCTAACATGACTGTGTCATTCGCCTACTGTAAATCTGCCTAGTATCTTGTTATGATAAGATCAATCTCTGTAAAGTCAGATGTCGAGAGGTAGACCTCCATAAATTAGAGTGATCGGCTATTTCACTAGTTACGGGTTGAACCAGCTTATCAGCAACGTAACCGAACAAATTCAGGTGAATTACCTCAGATCACCAGCATCCAACTGGCTTCCATGGGACACTATACCTAAGAGAGAATGATCAACTTACAAATTGTGCACAAACCAAGTTGACAGTTCTTGCAAAGCTAAGTAGTTTCTCACCTATCTCACCTCCAACTATGGTGTCATTCAGTACGGTTTCTGTTGGAAACCAATCTACATTCGGTCAAGACCACAAGGTATGATCACTGAATTGGATCGCATCTACAAATAGGTTTAAGGTATTTGACAGGAAATTGTCAGTTGAAGATATTGGTAATCACATAGCTAACATAATCGCTATATCAGTGAAATTCGGAAAGGTATAAATTACGTAATCGTAGTGCTTAAAACAAAGAAACTTACATATAGGAGTAGAACACCGTATTTCATCAGGATTCAACGTTTCGTAATGCATCTGTTTATCCGATTCACCTATATCAGTTGATATAGGCAAAAACTGATCCTAAAAAGGTTCAATGATTGTTATATCATAACATTTGAATACAAACGTGATACAGTCGTATATTATATGATAATAAATATATAAAATTAATATAATCCAAGACACAAGAATTCTGGCGATTTCGTTGTGTAGCTCACAGCTTCTTAAGTAGAATTTACGGATTCTATTTAAACATTCAAATATCAACAGACTGTCTAATGTATCAGTCACAGAGAGATACTGACAGCTCACACATCACATTGCAGACAGTCATGATAATGATTTCGTCTAGGAAGACACGATGACACCTACACGATTACACCGTCCAGTGGAGAGAAAAAAGCACAACCGATAGCAATCAAATAGTCTTACCACACCGCAGTTAAAAAGTCGATTCGTTAAATGTCCAAGTAGTAGGAGAAAACGCTACCATTACTATGAAAGAAATCATTATTATTATTTATCCCTTAGGTTCCTAATGGAACATAAAGCTTCAGTAGCACATCTCCAGTGCACTCTTTTCTCTTCAATCTTTTCAAACTGGCTCCACCACAGCCCACAAGTTCTCATTTCTTCCTCACACCATCTCTTCCATGTCAACCTCACCTCAGACGCCCAACTCGTCGTTTCCCATCTGGGTTCCACTCGAGTGACTGGAGCGTGATGTCCTCAGTCGACCTTCTCAGCGTATGCCCAATTCATCTCCACTCTCTTCCATCTGCACATTTGTTGAGCAAAACTTTCTTTCTTGGTTGATTGCCAGGCCAGCCAGAGTTCCTTGTTGCTTATTCTTTCTAGCCATCTGAGCTGAGCTTAAGTAGCGAGCCAGCGTAGGCAGTTGTTGATGAATATCTGTAGTTTGTTGGAAATGCTCGTCGTAACGCGCCACGTCTCTGAGCCATACAGAAGCAATGACTTGACTGGATTGGTGTTGAAAATCCGGATGTTGTTCACACCTTATACTGAGTGCAGAAGATCTCCACACTGGTTTCAGGTTAATGAAGGCCTGTCTTGCTGTCTTTCCGATGCTGGATGGTTTTGACGTCCTCGTCTTTGCCGCTGCCTGTAGTTGAAAGAGTGCTGCCCTGCCTAGATAGGTGAAGGAGGCTACTTCCTTTAAGTTTCTCACGTCGATGGTGATTGGAGATTGTTGTTGTTGGTTAAGTATCATCATCACCTTTGTCTTCTCTACGTCCCGTCTTCGCTATCCTGTCTCTTCTGTCAACTTGTTAGTTTTCGCCTGTACATCTTCAAGTTTGTGCGACATCAAACACAAGTCATTGGCGAAATCTAAATCTTCTAGGATCTTTGTCTGCGGTCCAGAGTATCCTCCTCTTCTCGCTCCTCACTGTTTGTTGCATGATCCAGTCGACTACAATCAGGATTATCATGGGTGATGATGATAGTAGGCGGCAGCCTTGTCTTACTCCTGTCTTCATTTAAAAGGCATAACTGAGCTTCGCATTGTGGATTACTTGGCATGTGGCGTCTTCATATAGCTGCTGTTGAATGAGATTGATAAAGGTTTGTGGCACTGAAACCGTAGTGTTGAAGCAGTTACAAAATTACTTCCTGGTCAACGCTGTCAAAGGCCCTTTGAAAGTCGATGAAGTTGATGTAGAGGGTTGACTGCTATTCTATACTCTGTTCTATGATGATGCGTAGCGTAGCGATTTGATCCGCACATGATTTGTACTTTCTGAATCCGGTCAGCCTGTTCCGGTAGTAGTTTTGAATCCGGCGCATCGTTCAGTCTTTCCAGGATTATGCGGCTTGATATTTTGCTTCGGGTGGACTGGAGCGTGATTCCGTTCCAGTTCTTGCAAAGACGTAGGTCGATCTTCTTCGGGAGTTTGACAAGGTAACCCTTATTCCAATCGCCAGGGCACGTTTACTACCTTCCAGACTTTCTGCAATAGTGGTGTGAGCACGTCCGCTGTTATCTAGGCGTCTGTTCTCAGTGCTTCTATCGGGATTCCATCTGCTCCTCCTGCTATCCCACATTTCAGTAGCTTTATGGAGCTCAGGACAAGCCTCTTCGCCCAGGCTTGGGACCGGCCAGTAAATAGTAAACTAGTTAACCAGGCAAGGTGAAGAAAGAAATGAGACACTTCAAAATTACATCACATCTCAATAATCACCCACGTATACTCATCAATAAATACGCAGCGAATCGAAGGATAAATAACAGCAGTAGTAGGTGTGTAGTGCAGATGCTCATCAAAGCACATTCGTGAATTTCATGGTTTGTCATAAAAATATACTTCCAGTCTTTCAATCAAAATTACCCTAATCTCCTCAGCTACATTGTCATACAACACAGAAAATGAGTTCCATACAGACTGTATTCAAAAGAGTGAGAATACACTGAGTTGTTCGACAACTTCATGGAGGAACAAAGAAAATTATCAACGAAACATTTTCAGATGATGCTTATCCTGTGCATCATCAATTACAATTTCATCGATAGAAATCAGTAAACGCATGATTCTACCGTACATCAAGAAATATATAAGAGATGATGGGAAGATTAGTGAGACCACATGGAATTGGTATGATGCGTGATAAACCAACAAATATCCCATTATGTAGACGAAAGGCAGTGCAACAATCGAAGAAGACAAACGAAGTGTCTTTCACAAATCAAGTGGGTGGATAATTGTGATCAACACTACACTAGACGAAGTAGTCGCCCCATCGCCTTCACTTACATGAAAACCAATCGGCTATTGAACGTCATGACATTTCACTGGTTATTTCAACAAAAATGTGGATGATAAGGCAGACATGAATTGAATTTTCTCAATGTAGAAATTTTGGACGGAGAAAGGAAACACGAAGGATATCATCAGATAATTCCTAGAAGCTTCACATTCACGTCAGTCAGTCAGCAATCAATCGATGTGTAGACTTAGACCGAAGGTCAGTGGTGAAGCAGAAGAACAGCCAACAATGAAATCTATGCACATGCTTAATGACATAACAATCAGAGGAAACAAAAGATGAGTACAAAAGATGAGGTGACTGTAATGAATAGCAAGACGATGTGGAGGAAGCATATGAACTTCAACATGAAGAACTATGCTTGTAGAATCCACCGTTTCCTGGAAACTGATTCCACTGTTTGTAGATACGATGATGAAGATTTTTGTGGCATGTGGTAATCGAGGATGGAGTTATCAATGTGCCCGTTAAGGATTTTGAATCAGTCATAGAGTTGATGTGTATGTGGGATTGAGGAATGAGTGTCGTAATGCTTCGGACATTACTGAAGATTTATTGCCAAAGGACTTTATGGCGGTGTAGGTGAGAAGGAGATTAGAGTAATTTTGTTTGAACAACTGGAACCTGATTTTGGCAAGGGAACGATGAAATCCACTAATCTGCTTCGATGAGAATCTCCACTGCTGTTAGTTTCCCTTCGATTCCCTGTGTATTTATTGATGAATATTTGTGGGTGATTATTGAGATGTGATGTCAACTTGAAGTGTCTAATTTCTTTTCGTAGATTTTCGGTGCGCTATTAATGGGTGGCGTTTTTGTCTCATTACTAAGGCATTTAACGAGTCGAATTTTTGACTGAGATGTGGTAAGACGATTCAATTTCTTTCGGTTGTGCTTTGTTCTCTTCTTATTCTCTGCTTATTCTTTTTGGTCATCTGAGCTGAGCTTCAGTAACGAGCGCAGGTGGCAGTTGTTGATGACTAGTGGATTTCTATGTGCAAAGAAACTATGTATGTGTATGCCAAACCAAAGCCTACTTAAATGTGCGACGCTACCAGAATTGGTATCGGACTGGAAGAGGGTTCAGGGTGGGTGTTTGGAGTCATACACTCGTCTGCAAGGTCTCATGTTGACTTCTTTTTGTCAGTGGAATGCCGTAACTTACAAACTCGTTTCTTTGTAAAGTTGTAGGTTTGAATGACCCTGTGATCTCGAGATTATTTGAAATGTTTGCTACTTTTACAAGGCATCTTATGTTTATTATAACACAGTAAAGGTTTAAAATCCTCTCTCCTTGGCACCACCATTATTATCACTATAATTATCATAACTACTAGTAACATGTGTGTTAGTTTAGTAGGCGTTGCTGATCAGAGTGGATGTAAGAAGTATACATTAGGAGGGTGGCAGAAATTATAGACATCACCTCAGCTACTTTTGTACCCATCAGCTGTCTGGTCAACTTCCCAAGCTCACTAATATACATGGGTTGGGATGCGTTCACTAGTCGTAGCTGCTGACCGATGGCATTCGGGACACTTTCGGTGAACTGTGCTGCCAGCAACTGCTCCTGTGACTCCTCATCCAAAGTGGAAAGTGCTCGTCGAAGTAGTTTCGTCAACACAGCCAATAACAGCGGGTCTTCGTCTCTTCCAAGTCTCGTGCTTCGGAACTGCTGCATCACTAGCTCCCTGTTAACTGAACTGTCGAACTTCGCCTTCAGTCGTTCAACCATTCTCTTACAAATCTCCTTCCCATCCTCGCCATTATACTCTGCTTTCACCCCACCCTTCGGTAACATGCCAAGCATCACGACCTTAGCTCCTGAATCCTAGACACTCAGCAGCTCCGTGACCGACTCGAAGTCCCTGAGGAAGACCTTGGTGTCTTCATTCTCGATCACTGCAGGCTATGGAACCTTCATCACGTCCGAAAGTGGCGACACCAATTGTAGGAGACGAGAAGATTGAGACGAAGGATGGTATGTACGGTAGTCATCCGCTAAGATAGTCATTTGCATGATGTGCTTGTATCTTCACTTGCTTTTAATACGCCCATATTGTTTTTTGCGTTTCTTTAGACAGAATCTTTACTTGTTGCTAGTAATTGCCTATGATTTCTGCCACCTCAACATATACTACTTATATATCCATTCTGACTAACAGCGCCCACTATATCACCACTTTAACTGTTGTTTACATGGATAAGCACACATAGAAGAGGAAGGGGAGAAATCAAGATATTCACTTGACGATGGTGGAATATGTACCAAAATGATTTACAAACGCAGCTGGTAGGCAACCATTTTAACCCATTGCAAAAACATACAAGGTTGATAAACTTCACAGGATCGAAATTGTTAGGAAGGTATAGTTAAGTTTGTTGAATCGCTAGCTATACACATATATAAGCTCTTCCATATATACCTTCTCCTTATGTGTTCCCAGAAGTACTTTGTAGGTGGGTAAATCTTGTTTGATGAATCACCAATAAGGCGAAATGCACGTCAACTTAGATTCAAGTGTTAGCTATTATCCATCATTAGAATGAAAACTGAAATGACAGGGAATATTGAGATATCCATCCAGGAGAGCCCATATCTCAATAGAGACGGGTCGATTCAACCTAGTCAGCAACGGGATAATACTACTAACAATATAAGTTGACATCTTTTTAACCTATAATCCATTGCAGAGGTCACTTTTTACTCTTATCTCTTAAGTTCAATTTTTAATATATATATATATATATCAGTAGAACAAAAACCTCGCCTGGTTAACCAGTTCACTAGTTACTGGCAAGCCTTAAGCTCGGGTAAAGAGGGAAGGTTGGGCATACGTCTAGCAGCCCTACCCCGTAAAACCAATCCAATCGCTAAAGAAACTTCAAACCACAAAGAAAATATAAAAAGTAAAAATAAACATATTCGTCGCTGGAATCGAGAGACGAAATGACGCCAGTTGGTGAAAGACTTCGGGAAGCCAATCGGCCGATAAGTCTTCTCTCGATGAAAACGAAAGTAAGCACTATATATGAACCAATGTCAAGTCAGTGCTGCTATATGATTCAGAAACTTGGCGTGTCACGAAAAGCACTTCCAACAAACTACAGGCATTCATCAACCACTGCCGCCTACGCTCGACACTGAAGATGGTGATCAGGTGGTCAGTAAGAATAAGCAACAAGGAACTCTGGGAATGAACCAATCAAGAACCTATCACCCAGTAAATATGCAGAAGGCTAGTTGGAGACATCACGCGCTAGGCCAGACTCTCGAGTGGAATCCAAAGGGGAAACGACGAGTTGGGCGTCCGAAGCGAGGGTGACATGGAGGGCAGTCGTGGAGCGACGTCCAACAGATTGCAGAGAACAGAGTGTAATGGAGACGTGCTACTGAAGCCTTATGTTCCACTACGAAACCATAAGGACAAAAATCTGGTCAACAGTAGTCGAATCTTATAGTTCAGTTGGTATACCATGAGGATGTAAACCTGATGGTTACTGGTTCGAATCCGACCACGATTCAAATTTTCATTCTACCAACAATCATCACACAATATAAATACTTACAGTGAATTGCAATGATTGTAATTCTGATAGGATAAAATCAGGATAACGCGGAGGTGTTAGTTGATGATGATTCCTCAGACCAAACATTATATCACCATTATGCGTTATATGAATATTATTGATGAATTGTAAACATTTATCCAAACGATTATAGTTATGAGTTAGTGAAGAAATCTCTTCTTGACAACATAAAGTAGATTTGTTTTCATTTGATCGCTTATAATCCATTCGTGATAATGTCCACCAATACCAATGTGTAGTGATATTCAGGATTAAATTGAAAACACGTGAATTATTGTTCTAAAATATAAATTTACAGAATATAATGCAGGAAGACATACAGTCAAGTAATAGAAATGCCAGCCAGCCATTCAGTCAGCCAGCGAGACAGCCATCCAGCAAGACAGTCAGTCAGCAAGACAGCCAGACAGTTAGTTAGCATGACAACCAGTCAGTCAGTCAACCACTTAGCCAGTCAGTCAATCAGCCATCAAGACAGCCAGCCAGTCAGTCAGTCAGCTAAAACAATCTTACCCAAAATTTAGAACAATATTCCAAGTGTCTTTCATGACGTCGATATAAGCCCATTGATATCCATAAGCGTAAAGCATCTACAGTTCTATGTTGAATAAAACGTTGCATAGCAATAACACGTTTACTTTTCTTTTCATTACGTTTTATAATCCATAAACGCCATCCTTGCCATACACGAGCTTGTAGGTATAATGACCATCTAACAACAGCGATATAGTTTAATGTTTGCATATGCTTTGCTTCAATGAATTTGCTATGCCAATACTTTAGGACATAATTCTATAAAGTGGAATATATGTGAATTTAACAAGCAAATTATTATTATTATCATTGTTTGAAAAGAAATCCTCAGAAACATTCGAAAGGTTGGGAGGAATGGAAAATAAGCGTTCAGTACTACTAATAGTAAAGTATGCGATGGATACAAAACTACTACCGGAACAGGCTGACCGGATTCAGAAAGTACAAATCATGTGCGGATCAAATCGCTACGCTACACATCATCATAGAACAGAGTATAGAATAGCAGTCAACCCTCTACATCAACTTCATCGACTTTCAAAGGGCCTTTGACAGCGTTGACCAGGAAGTAATTTTGTAACTGCTTCAACACTACGGTTTCAGTGCCACAAACCTTTATCAATCTCATTCAACAGCAGCTATATGAAGACGCCACATGCCAAGTAATCCACAATGCGAAGCTCAGTTATGCCTTTTAAATGAAGACAGGAGTAAGACAAGGCTGCCGCCTACTATCATCATCACCCATGATAATCCTGATTGTAGTCGACTGGATCATGCAACAAACAGTGAGGAGCGAGAAGAGGAGGATACTCTGGACCGTAGACAAGGATCCTAGAAGATTTAGATTTCGCCAATGACTTGTGTTTGATGTCGCACAAACTTGAAGATGTACAGGCGAAAACTAACAAGTTGACAGAAGAGACAGGATAGCGAAGACGGGACGTAGAGAAGACAAAGGTGATGATGATACTTAACCAACAACAACAATCTCCAATCACCATCGACGTGAGAAACTTAAAGGAAGTAGCCTCCTTCACCTATCTAGGCAGGGCAGCACTCTTTCAACTACAGGCAGCGGCAAAGACGAGGACGTCAAAACCATCCAGCATCGGAAAGACAGCAAGACAGGCCTTCATTAACCTGAAACCAGTGTGGAGATCTTCTGCACTCAGTATAAGGTGTGAACAACATCCGGATTTTCAACACCAATCCAGTCAAGTCATTGATTCTGTATGGCTCAGAGACTTGGAGCGTTACGAAATGCATTTCCAACAAACTACAGATATTCATCAACAACTGCCTACGCTGGCTCGTTACTGAAGCTCAGCTCAGATGGCTAGAAAGAATAAGCAACAAGGAACTCTGGCTGGCCTGGCAATCAACCAAGAAAGAAAGTTTTGCTCAACAAATGTGCAGATGGAAGAGAGTGGAGATGAATTGGGCATACGCTGAGAAGGTCGACTGAGGACATCACGCTCCAGTCACTCGAGTGGAACCCAGATGGGAAACGACGAGTTGGGCGTCTGAGGTGAGGTTGACATGGAAGAGATGGTGTGAGGAAGAAATGAGAACTTGTGGGCTGTGGTGGAGCCAGTTTGAAAAGATTGAAGAGAAAAGAGTGCACTGGAGATGTGCTACTGAAGCTCTATGTTCCATTAGGAACCTAAGGGATAAATAATAATAATAACTACTAGTACGCTATACTTCAGCTGTACACAGTATGACTACATCAGGACCTTTTGTTTTCATGGTCAGGATGTTATGATCAAGTTGAAATTCAATGGTTCAAATGGAATTACTCTATCGTTCGTGGATAAAGTTTTAATGAGAAATTGTGACTTATAAAGTCAACTAAATTGAACGACCAGGTTATGGGTGAGTACCGTTGAAGAGTCAAATACTAGTACTATAATGGGCGTTGCTGATAGGAACGGATATAAGTAGTTTATGTTGACTCCGCTACAGCTACTGATGTACTTATCAGCTGTCTGGTCACCTTCCCCAGCTCACTAATATACATGGGTTGGGATGCGTTCACTAGTCGTAGCTGCTGACCGATGGCATTCGGGACACTCTCGGTGAACTGTGCTGCCAGCAACTGCTCCTGTGACTCCTCATCCAAAGTGGAAAGTGCTCGTCGAAGTAGTTTCGTCAACACAGTCAATAACAGCGGTTCTTCGTCTCTTCCAAGTCTCGTGCTTCGGAACTGCTGCATCACCAGCTCCCTGCTAACTGAACTGTCGAACTTCGCCTTCAGTTGTTCAACCATTCTCTGCCAAGTATCCTTCCTCTCTCCAGGTTTCACGCCATCATACTCTGCTTTCGCTCCATCCCTCAGCAACGTGCTAAGTACCACAACCTTTGCTCTTGGATCCCGTACACACACCAGCTGTGTGACCGATGCCAACTCAACTTGAAGTTGGTAGTATCCAAAAAACCTACTGGAACTACTGTGCTTTAAAAAGTTCTCTGATATATAGATATATATATATACGTAGAAAGCTAAGTGATGCTTTTGAAGTGAAGACAGGACACCCTATTATCACCGACGATGTTTCTGATTATGGTCGACTGGACTTGACTAGATTATGCAATAAACTGTGAGGAGTGAGAAGATAGGCATATGCTGTTTGACCGAAGAAAAGACTACAAGATTTGGATTTCGTCGATGATGATTTATATCTAATGTCTTATGTCCCACAAACTCAAAGATCTACAGACCAGAACTAAGAAGTTGGAAGTAGAGGGAAGGCGAGGCAGCAAAGACGGGACTTTTTTCTGGTGACCGTAGAGAAGACAGAGGTGATGAAGATACGCAACCAACAACAAGCACCAATCAGCGTGAACGGGAGAAAGCTAAAGGAAGCTGTCTCTTTCACTGACCTACTTACCTACGTAGGCAGCATCGTTTCAACTACAAGTGGCTGTGGCGGCACAGATGAGGATGTGAAAGCCAGGATCGAAAAGACAGCTACGCAGTCCTTCATTAGCCTGGAACCGGTGTGGAGATCTACTTCACTGCACTGCACTCAGCATAAAGCGTGAACAAGATCCAGATTTTCAACAGTAATGTCAGTCAAGTCTGTGCTTGCTTCTATGTGACGGTTGAGAGATTTGGTGCGTAACGAAAAGCATTTCCAACAAACTGCAGGCATACATGAACAGCTTTCGCCTACGCTCACTCGATACTGAAGATCAGATGGTGAGAAAAAATAAGCAAGGAGGAAGTCTGGCTGGCTGGCAACGAACCAACCGAGAAGCTATCGCTTAACAAGTATGCAGTGGAAGGAAGTGGAGATGGATTGGGCATACACTGAGGAGATCATTCGGGGACATCACGCGTCAGGCCAGGCCCTCGAGTGGAATCCAGATGGGAAACGACGAGTTGGGCGTCTGAGAGTGACATTGAGGATATGGTGTGAGAAAGCAATGAAAGTTTCTGGGTAGTCATGAAGCCAGGTTCAAAAGACTGCAGAGAACAGAGTGAAATGGCGAAGCAGTAGGACTTCGAAGGATAGATAATAATAATAAATAGGCCAAGACTTGTCAGCAGTCGATAAAGTCCATAACTGCTGACATGAGTAAAATGGGTAGATGTAGACTGCCTTGTTGGACTCCACAGGATGATACAACAGCGCAGATGTATTCACTCATTCATATCTCTTCTAAAGCTTGAATACTCAAACTAACCTTTATCTTCAAATTCTTCATTCTTTCACACAACTTTATCTACATTGATATGAGTCTTTCTCTATCCATCTATTCTTTGTGTACTGCCATGAAGTGTGTAAACTTGAGCTGATGTAGCTGTCAACGACATACTCTATTGTTTTTTTGAGTTGGTATCAGTCACTTAGCACAGAGCATCTATTCATATCCTTAAGAATCTACATTCTCGAAAAAAACTCTGATTCTAATCATCTGAGTAATCGATAGATACAAGACATCTGAAACCTGAAATACTCTTATCAAAAATCATTCTCGTACAGAAAATGTCTGAATTACTGCGCTTCTAGGTGGCGATCGCTGTAAAACACTTTCACAACCTAACTTATGCATACATAGAAAGAGATTGTAGTTAATCTCTCAATCCATTCATCATTATTTGATATAGCCAGGATAGAGTGAGTGGCACAGGATCATCAAATTGATGACGACGTTTCGAGCATGAATGATTATCACTTACAATCATCATTATAAAATGTAATCACATCACATCACCTTCGAGATATCTGATTTTTATATTCCCGTTCTGATATAGATGGGTGTTACGTCATTCTTATTACACTTGTATGTTACGTGTTGATTCGATGAACAAAGATTCAGTAACCAGTCTCTCCTTCTCTCCATCTAGTTATATTTGACTTGAGTACAGTGGTTTTATCCCTCACGCAATTTTGGTGTGTGTGTGTGTGTGTGTGTTACTGCATGCATTGCCATTGCCTAGTTGCTATCTAGATGATTGATCTTATCCGGATGTCATTCTTTATTCAGCTAACATTGCTATATTCGGCTATTCTAATTGACCCCGATCGGCTAGTTTCACCTATGTACTTGACCTGACTCACAGTCATTACATGGCAATTTTATAGATTAGATTATTTTCCTTAACTGGATCTATGCGATACTTAAACTAGCCGACAAATATCATCCCTGAGTGAGTTTGTAGGTTTAAATACCAACCTAACCTAATTCTAACTTTGGTGAGGATTCCACGTAAAACATTCTGATGTACCTCTCCTTATAGGAAATTGCGAACTCATTTCTACTTGTGTAGAGGATAATTATATATATATATATATATATATATATATATATATATATATATATATATATATATATTCTTCAATTCCCCACTCAAGTCCTTTCACTGGCTACTAGTCAGTCTACTAGTTCTATCATTTAGATATATGATTGAACCCGCCTTTACTTACTGACATTGAATGGGATCACTTGAATGTGTCGGTTTCGTGCAGATGGTAGTATCTGAACCATCGACGTCTGTCATTTGTTTTATCCTACAATTCAACATAAGTAATTCTTCTCTGTTCATTGTCTACCTCCTTGTAAGTGAGGATATTGTCGATATGTTTCGATTTCAATGGGGTAGTGAGTTTGCCATCCACATATCACCACGATAACTTACGTGCAGGACTTAACGTTTGTCAAGGCATGTCTTCCCAAATATCCATGAGCATATCCGCTACTAACGGGATATTAGCCATCCCATCGATACCTACTCCTACTGTTTGTCT